CCTGTACATGACATTAATCTCCAGTAAAATTGGTGAGTGTTATGATTAAGATATTTTCCTTCTGTTATGTAAATGTATTTATATATAATAATTTTTTAATTTAATATACAGTCCACAAATTTATATATTTACCAGCATTCCTGGAGATGTATAATTCATTTAATTAATAGGTCCAGAGCAACTTGTGGATATGACAGTGGTAGGTATCGAAGGGGGACATTTTTTGCGACCTAGGTGTCCCAAATTCCTACTTGTCTAACTGATAAATAATAATTATCTAAGTTCATTTACTGTTATGTATATAATGATACATTCAGATAAATGCAATTTTCCACAACCATTGTAATTGTGAGTTCATTACCTCTGTAACTTGCTCAGCTATCAAAACTTTGGAGTCCAGTCCCTGGACCAATTATGTACCTCTGTAATCTTTTGACTACCGCCCACAGGATGGGTATGGGGTGCATAATAAACATATTAAACTTACATAGTAATTGCTGGAGAGTTAGTTTTAGTTTAATATCTTTATTATGCACCCCATACCCATCCTGTGGGCGGTAGTCAAAAGATTACAGAGGTACATAATGGGTCCAGGGACTGGACCCCAAAGTTTTGATAGCTGAACAAGGTACAAAGGTAATGAACTCACAAGTTACAAAGGTAATGAATCATGTAAATAAGTAAGTAAATTTACTTGCTTACGTTTATACATGGCTACAATCATGAAAAAATTATGTGAGGGAATTTACCAGCCAAGTCTACTTTCCGACATAAACTGAAATATGCTTAACTTCAGTGATGACTGACTTCTTGCTGCCGCAGTCAAGTTTCCTTCGCTTGAGTCGTGGTCGCCTCACCTCTGAGCTGTAGAATGACGAGTATAGTTAAGGTGGTTAAAAACCTAACATACATATTTTCAAGTATAAGAATTTACTGGAGTGTGGTAAGCTACTTGCCTGAGTTTTGTGGATGACTTTCACATTACAACCTAGAATAGGTCAGTCGTAATCACCTTGTGTTTACCTATGGAGTGCAGTGCATTATGGTGATACAAGTGAGAGCAGGACTTACCTTGTTCGTGTAACGTGAGCTTGTGGCATTGACTGCGCCACGTAGGCCGAGATTGTTGTCTTGTGGATGAATGCAGAGGTAAATAACTAAAAGGCACAATACCATCCCTGTTTGATGGCCTATATATATTGCTCCCTTCTCTCTGTTAGTGTGACTTTGTAAATGGTCCAAGTCGGACCGAAACGTCGTCGTAAGCTCCTCTCTTCTATGTGCGGGTTATTTGTGTAATGCAGAGGTGTTACGTGGAGAATGTTGCACTTGTGTTCGTCACAACACGTAGGAAATGTACGTTGCAATCCCTCGTAAAACCGGTTACGTACGTCATTCAATACCATCACTTGTTCATAGTTTCGTGGAATTATCCACAGTAGGGAAAAAGCTGAATAACACTGTATACTTCAGCACTCCCAATGTTCAATCGAAAAAGTCACACGTAGATGCTATGAACATTACATGATTAGTTCTACCACGAATTTCCTGACTTGAATAAGGGAACTAGTGTAACTTTCCTAGTTACCTGAGACTGTCGGAATGAACAAGTCAAGAATGCACTGGTCAATACTCTTTGTCCTTTAGCGATAAGGCAGCAATGCCGTCTTGATTCACACGCCTCGTTCGTTCCTTGAAGCAATCTGCCCCCGACCAGCGGGCCCATCCTCGAGTTCCTCTTAAGTACAAAGGAAATACTGAACTCAGCTTTATATACATTCGTTGCTAGTCTGTGCAACAGAGTTTAACACAGGAGGGTAGGTTTCTTGTTATTTAGCTGTAGACTAGAAGTCATAATGTCCCTGACTTATAATGGGGCACAAGTTTTCTCTTAATTTTCCTACCATGAGGAAAGAGTAATGACTCGGTTTAACCTCGTTGTATAGTTGATCGGAAATTCTAGCTACGAGAGGGCATGCCTGGAGACGCTATGGTACATACATCTGGTTCTGCTAAAAGATGTGCGAGGAAGTCGTAGTCCACTAGTCCTTTGTAAGAGGGCTAAGTCCTTCAGAGGGCTGAGGGGGGCTGAGATATACTCCCATTTAAACTGGAGATTTTTCTCCACAGAGAGACCTGAAGTACAGTATGTGTCGACACCATCCAGACCTCCCCTCAGCCTACAAAATAGAAGTCTGGCAGCCAAAGAAGCAACAGCAGAGGCCCGGTGGCTATAGCTCCTGCTTCACGCACGGAGGGCCCAGGTTCGATTCCCGGCGGATGGAAACATTTCGACACGTTTCCTTACACCTGTTGTCCTGTTCACCTAGCAGCAAATAGGTACCTGGGTGTTAGTCGACTGGTGTGGACAAATGCAAAGTTCTAAATGTTGGACAGGACAATAACCATGCCACATATAAACTAAATAATGTAGATCTTAATATTACGGATTGCGAAAAAGATTTAGGAGTTCTGGTTAGCAGTAATCTGAAACCAAGACAACAGTGCATAAGTGTTCGCAATAAAGCTAATAGAATCCTTGGCTTCATATCAAGAAGCATAAATAATAGGAGTCCTCAGGTTGTTCTTCAACTCTATACATCCTTGGTTAGGCCTCATTTAGATTATGCTGCACAGTTTTGGTCACCGTATTACAGGATGGATATAAATTCTCTGGAAAATGTACAAAGGAGGATGACAAAGTTGATCCCATGTATCAGAAACCTTCCCTATGAGGATAGACTAAGGGCCCTGAATCTGCACTCTCTAGAAAGACGTAGAATTAGGGGGGATATGATTGAGGTGTATAAATGGAAGACAGGAATAAATAAAGGGGATGTAAACAGTGTGCTGAAAATATCTAGCCTAAACAGGACTCGCAGCAATGGTTTTAAGTTGGAAAAATTCAGATTCAGGAAGGATATAGGAAAGTACTGGTTTGGTAATAGAGTTGTGGATGAGTGGAACAAACTCCCGAGTACAGTTATAGAGGCCACAACGTTGTGTAGCTTTAAAAATAGGTTGGATAAATACATGAGTGGATGTGGGTGGGTGTGAGTTGGACCTGATAGCTTGTGCTACAAGGTCGGTTGCCGTGTTCCTCCCTTAAGGCAATGTGACCTGACCTGACTAGGTTGGGTGCATTGGCTTAAGCCGGTAGGAGACTTGGACCTGCCTCGCATGGGCCAGTAGGCCTTCTGCAGTGTTCCTTCGTTCTTATGTTCTTATGGTGTGGGTCGCATCCTGGGGGACAAGATTGAGGACCACAATGGAAATAAGTTAGACAGTCCTCGATGACGCAGACTTTCTTGGGTTATCCTGGGTTCAGGGTAACCCTCCGGGGTTAAAAATCCGAACGAAATCTTATCTTAAAGGATACCCCATCTGTACGCCAGACCCCACCCATAAGACTGATCATATATAAGTTGGTAGAATTACCGACAATATGTAAAGTAAAAGGGCACAAGTCCAACTAATGTGACATTTTATTGTGGCAACGTTTCGCTCTCCAGGAGCTTTGTCAAGCCGTAACGGCTTAACAAAGCTCCTGAAGAGCGAAACGTTGCCACAATAAAATGTCACATTAGTTGCACTTGTGCCCTTTTACTTTACAAGATTGATCATAGTCTTTGCCATAGTAACTACACTGGCACTGAGCGCTAGTAAGGGTAAATGCTGCGATAGTTTAGTGTTTCAGTTATGAATGGGACAATACCCCGCCATAGGGTAGGTAATAGTAGTGCCTGCACAGTGAATTAGACCCTATAATTTATAGGGTCTAACACTAGTTTCTGGCACTATGTTTATAGTCTATAAACATTGTGCCAGAAACTAGTGACTCCTGAAACATATATTGATACTAGCTTAAGGCAGGCCCAAAAATCTAATGTAGCTTAGGCCCTAAGCCAAAGTTACTAACATTGTTTGCAGGCACCATTCTCCTCTTGCACGTGACCATACCTGGAGTTTACCTGGAGAGAGTTCCGGGGATCAACGCCCCCGCGGCCCGGTCTGTGACCAGGCCTCCTGGTGGATCAGAGCCTGATCAACCAGGCTGTTGCTGCTGGCTGCACGCAAACCAACGTACGAGCCACAGCCCGGCTGATCCGGAACTGACTTTAGGTGCTCGGAACTGAAGGGTACGCTAACCTGGGATAGTTGCCGGAGAATCTAACTAGGGACAGACTCCATATCAACAAACCAATGATAAGATCTATTAAAATTTTAATGGGGAGTCCTGAACCTATAGGGGTCATATACCGCATAAGGAAAAGATAATGGTAGGCTCATCAATTTTAATTACAGAGAAGTGTAGCTGTAGATCCCTGGATCAAGAGCCTTCACCGGCACCAAGGCGCCTCCCTTGAGTTGAAGGGTTATAACTAAGATACAAAGCAGGAGCAGACATAAATATAAGATGTCTTGTGCCCTTGTAAATCTTGCGCAAACCCACAGCTAATTGCTTCTTGGCTTCACATATATGATGCCACTGTCTAATTGTAAGGCTGCAGGCACGTTTATAGCTGAATTTACTAGATCTGAGCTGATTGCTCTGGTTAGTGTAGGTTGCGGGAATGAGATGAGGCTATCCACAATGTAGATTATTAGTCATGGAGAAGCGCTAAACCCATAGGGGTCATGCAGTGCCGGGGGAATTGGAAGCAATCAGCTTCGATTGAAGAAAAGGAACAGATGAACTCCTTCCTATGCTCAAGAGCCCCTCACCGGCATCAGAGCACCTTTCTTAAGGAGTATCTACAGAGTTGTAATGTAGAAATACTGCAGGTTTGGGGAAGGCGAGTCAAGCGCGTGTCTTCCTGGCTGATGATTGGATGTCACAGAAGGCGTGGTGGCAGCCAGCCAATCGCTGCGCGTCATCTTATGACGTCACACACCCCATGATTTAACATATGGTTTACAGGAAAACAAATCCCGTTTAACTTTTTTCGCCCACATCGGGATAATAATTATATATATTTATCCCTGAAGTACTTAAAAACAAGGAAATATTTGTATTAATTATATAACTGCGTTTAGCTTATGTATTGTATGTGGGAGAGGTTGAAACACAGGAACTAAAGTTATTATACTGGAGGTGTCAGGTAGATATGGTGGCAGCAAGCAGCATGTCACTAGTAAACACAGTGTTGCACACTGCAGGAAACATTACCATCACTACTATACTCGTCTCTGCAACCTACATACACCCCTGCCTCTCCATCTCACACAGGTAAGTATCACGCACTCCTGTATCCTAGTGTTATCATGTGTGTTCCAACAATTATACATTTGCATACTCACACCCGTGGCTGCTGTAACTAATGTTAGTTCATGCCCTTGAACAATGTTAATGCCCATGCATAATAATAATGTGTCGCAACAAATTTCAGACACTACATCGTGTCAAGATTCAGGTTTAAAAATTCACAGATACTAATCTGTTATGGTGACTCGCGCATCTTACAATTTTAAATTTTTCGTGGCAGTTTATTGCATATTCACAAAGGATTACCTAACTATATATATATATATATATATATATATATATATATATATATATATATATATATATATATATATATATATATATATATTTATATATTTATATGTATATATATATTTATATATATATATATTTATATGTATATATGTATTTATATGTATATATATATATATGTATATATATATATATATATATATATATATATATATATATATATATATATATATATATATATATATATATATATATATATATATATATATATATATATATATATATATATATATATATATGCAATAAGATGACAATAAACAGGTGATATCAGAATATGCAAAACAACCACTGTGAGAGGATAGTGAACTTCCAAGCGCTTTCATGACTTCTCACATTGTCCTTAGTTCAAATTATTTTTGGTTATAATACATTATTTTTATGTTAATTTAGATGAATTTACATGCAAATAAATAAAGCGGGAAGTATGCTATTTTATGGTGACGTCTTCATTAGTTAATAACATTCGTCAGTTACAGTAGGAGGATGAGCAGCCTAACTAGGATTATCTTCTGGTAGGGAGGCTGTAACTCCTACATATTTGACTCTTAATAACTATTACCCATGAATATAACAGTAAATATAATAACCTTCAAGAATGGAATTTCAAAATATGAATGCCTTCTCAAAGTCTACGTGACAATTTTGTGAATATTCATATTGTAATGTAATTCAGGTGACGTGTGCTGCATATTAATGTTTTTTAATTAAAATTTATAAAGCCTATAGGCTTCTTGTCACTTGTATATTGTAAGTTACTTTAGACTAGGAAGGGGGATCAGGTTAATAGATCTATAGCAAAAATGTAATTTAACTAATTTACAATTTCATTTGAGATAAAACGTTGTGTTTAAATTTTGTTTTAATATGTCATTTACAAGATTAACTATTGAAAAATAACAAATTTAAAACCTGAATGACCTAATTAAAGTGTAGCTGTTGCTACATTGTGAAGTTAAGAACCATTTTATTGTAGTCTTAAACTATAATAAATGTTATATGAAATTTTAAATTGTATTAAAATATATAACTGATACCAAATGATGGTGTTATTATTATTATTTACTATAAAAAAAACCCAATAGATTATGGGTACTGAAAGGATAAGTCATTATTTGAAGAAAATTATTTTTGAAAATGGTTGATAAAAGCGATGCTATAGTATTTAGTATAAGTATTAGTCCGTTTGGTACTACAGGTAAACAGTACTATGATGTGAGTTAAGAATACTTGAAACTTCAAAAGTATATGTATGATAGATGAAAATTTCCACTGTCTGTTCTTTATTGTATTTAGCTGAAGTACTTCAAATAGCAAAACAATATTAGCTATTCCACTCATGTACTCCATTCTTAGTCAAGTGGTGATTGTCAGACCTCGGGAAGCAGTGGCACACTTCCTGTTATACCTGCTACTGATGAAATCTCTGGAACATGACATCGTGGAGGAAATTCTCAAGCTGGAGGAAGAGATGCAGGTCGGTGGAAGCAGCCAGCGCAGAGCCACCACCATACCAGCAGTGTCTCTGGCACTGCTGGCTCAACCTGACGTGGCACTACCAAGTTGTCTTTATGGTACCAGTGCTGACTTACATACAGCATCCACTTCTTATGCACATGTACCTGAAGTGACGAGTGAGGCGTCTGCTAGTAGTTCTACGGCTACGGTCTGCATGAAGAACAAACGACGGAAAGAAAATCGCAACATGTTTGAGCGAAAGAGAAGAACCAACATCAACGAAAGAATCAAAGAGCTTGCTTCTCTGCTGCCCAGGAGGAACGAACCATATTTTGAGGTTGTCCGTGATCTTCGACACAGCACTGGGCAAATATTGAAAGCTTCTGTCAACTACATACGCAGGCTTAAAGTGGATGTAGAGCACAGCAAGAAGATAGAAGCACAACGACTCTCTTTGGAACAAGAGAACCAGCGACTTCTTGCACGAATTAAGGTGCTGGAAGCAAAGCTGCAGCTCCTCAGTGTTACAACGCAGGACGTCACCTCTCACCCAGGTCCTGCCACAACACCTGAGAGCAAACACGATAGAAGGTGCTAAACATCTGAAGGATAGTCAGTAAATAAACAGAGCTTCGATTGCACAGTTGGTAGTGTTACAAACAGCTCCAGGTTAGTATATTTACAAACTACTATACTCTTGGTTAGGTAAGGCGCTCAGTAAATATAACTATTATTGAAGATTGAGACACTTATGCAACATATGGGAATCTTTATTGAGGAAACGTTTCGCCACACATTGGCTTCATCAGTCCAGTACAAAGTAGAAAGGTGGAAGGAGAGGAGGAGTTTGAGGTAATCAGTCCCTTAGTCTGGAGTCGATGTGTTCTGTCCACTATTCTAGGTGAGGTTAAAACACAACGTTTTTATACTGTTTCAGGGAAAGCACTTGTTGAAGATTTGGATGGTTCACAAATATTCAGTTGATACATTTTACTTAGGAGCATGAGTGGAACTTTAGTTGGCCTACTAGTTCATGGTAAGGTACAATGAAAAAAATACCGACAAATGTTAAATAAGACGCATTGGAAGTGTTAGGATATATATATATATATATATATATATATATATATATATATATATATATATATATATATATATATATATATATATATATATATATATATATATATATATATGTCGTGCCGAATATGTAAAACTGGTCAATTAGCAAGAACTCATTTAAAATTAAGTCCTTTCTAAAATTTTCTCTTATACGTTTAAAGATATATTTTTTTCATTAATGTTAATGTAAAAAATTTTTAAATTTGCACCAAAAGGAACTTGGAAAACTTACCTAACCTTATTATAACAAGAGCAATTTATTTTAACCTAACCCAACTAAATATATTTTATATTTGTTTACAGTAATTTAATACTAAACAAACACAGTGAAACATATTTTTTTCGTTAGGTTCAGAATGATTTTGGCGAAATTATTGCATACACAAATTTTCACTTGTCCTATATGGCAAGATGAACGTTGCTATTTAAGCCAAGATCGCAAATTCTGCTTATTCGGCACGACATATATATATATATATATATATATATATATATATATATATATATATATATATATATATATATATATATATATATATATATATAATATATATATATATATATATATATTTAGGAAAAGTTTTGCACGCATAGCTTCTTCAGTTCTCCAGTCCAGTGCCAATGGTTATTCCTAGGACTGAAGAAGCCATTCATGGCGAAACGTTCCCTCAGTAAAATATCCTAATACCACACACATCTTATTGTATATTTACTGGTCTATGCTAGGCGGATCCATTCACAACCACTTACGTACCCGTTCAGCCTGTACGTAAGAACATAAAGGAGGAGCAGTGCAGCTGGCCCATTCATGTACGTAACCATGTCTAATCTACAATGATGCTACTCGGGAGTTTGTTCCACTCATCCACAACTGTTACCAAACCAGTGTTTTCATGTGTCTTTTATAAATATTTTTTTCCCCAACTCGAACCTATTGCTGCTAACCCTGTCTTGGTTAGATATTTTTTTAGCACATTATATCTCCTTTATTTATTCCTGTCTTCTACTGATACATCTTAATCATATCCCCCCTAATTCTACATATTTCCAGACTGCAGATTCGGTGCCCTCAGTCTGTCCTCGTAGGAAAGATTTCCGATATATGGGATCATCTTTGTTTTCCTCCTACCCAAAGTTCTCGCTTCATAGACACTCTTTGGTGGTGTGTTCTACTAATCTACAACTCTATTTTCAAACTAGTGCGTTCCTATAGCCTTTCTAAATTAAAATTTTTTCCAACTTGAATCCATTGTTGCGAGTCCTTTCTTGATTAGACAGTTTCAGCACGTTATTTATACCCCATTTATTTATTCCAGTTTTCCATTTGTACACTTAATCATATCATCCCTAATTCTGTGTCTTTCCAGAGGGCGCAAATTCAGTGTCTTCATACTGCCTTCATAATAAAGATTTTTTAATTCATGGGATCAAATTTATCCTTCTCTGTATATACTATATAGTATTTTCCAGTGCATTCTTCTCCATTCTGTAATACAGAAACCAGAACTGAGCAGCATAAATCTACGTGAGGCATTACCATTTGAAATATAATCTTATGACTTATTATTTATACTTATTAAAATGAAGTCAGAAATTCTATTAGCATTATTTCAAACACAGTATGCACTAGTCTTGGCGTTATATGTCTACTAACAAGGACGCCTAAGTCTTAATTTCCTATTCAGTTTGATTAAGTTCTATTATTTAGCTTATAAGTTCCATAGCTATTTTTTCCACAGGATTAGACTCATTTGCCACTTCTCCAATCAAATCACCGTATCCAGATCATCCTGTATCTCTCAGGTGTCTTCGCAATAGATTGGCCGTATATTTTAACATTATTAGTAAACTTCCTCGAGTCGCTATTTATTCCATCGTCGTCATTTATAGAAATTGTGACCAAAGGGCAAAAAAACTAACCCCTATAAGCTTTTTGTAGCCTATCGGTCAACCATGTCTCAATCCAGGAGATAATTTCTTCTATAGTACCATGTACCACTCCTTTCTTCATCAGTCTCCTGCATGAAACTTTATCAGAGGCCTTAATGAAGTCCACTTCAACAATATATTATTATGTTTTTTCCTTGTCAAATACCTTTGTGAAAAAAAATGGGTATTCGTAAGGCAAAACACTCTTTGTTACACTGCTGAGATTCACTGATCAAATTATATCGTTCAAGATAACTCTGAATTTCGCATGCAGGTATTTATTTCATCATCTTTCCCCACAACTGAGATTAGGAGTGGCGCATTTGCAGACACTTAGGACATGCATTAGGAAACGTTTAGGTCTTGCAACTAAGTTCAGTCTTATGATTCAGATGTAAAAGAAACACAGTATATAAAACCATAGTGCAAGTGTGTGAAGAGAGGTCAGGTTAGATGTTACTAGTCAAGTTATACTGAGTGGAAGCCCGGCCAACTGACGGTCGTGTCATGAAATGGGTGGAGCCCAGTGTGGTATAGCATCGTTATTTGCTTAATAGTATTGGAAGGTTTTATGGCCTAACATTCTATAAGAGTGTGACAGTGGTAACATTTATGAAGGGATTCAGGAAAATCAATTAGCCGGACTTTAGTCCTGGAAGTGGGTAGTACAGGGCTTGCACTCTTAAGGAAGAGTGAAGGCGAGGATATTGCATTTCAGAGGGAGGGTTATCTGAGTTGTATTTCCGCCCACATCGTGACACTGTCATCAGGTGATTTGGTTTCCACTCAGCTTGACCTGACTTGACTACTGCTTACACCTAATCCGACCTCTCCTCATTCACTTGCACCAAAGCTTTACATATTGTATTCCTTGTACCCTTCGAATCATAGGAGTGAACATTGTCCAAGAAGTGAAATGTTTCCTTAACAAGTTCCCAGGACTGAAACTTTCCTAAACAAGGTTCCAGGACCGAAACGTTTCCTAATAAGTGTTTAGAATGTGTCATTTCCTCACTTGGTCAGTATCATATATCTGTTTTTTTTATTACCAACTGAAGCTTTAAAAGTAATTTGTTAGAGACAAGCTCATAGGTAAAGTTCCTCCTTACTCTCCCTTAGAACCCCTGAAAATAGTTTATCAGGGGTCTGGTGAATTGATTGGTTTCGAACTATCTAGTTGTCTGAGGACCAGACAACTAGATAGGTCAGCGCCCCCGCGACTCGGTCTGAGACCAGGCCTCATGGTGGATCAGAGTCTGATCAACCAGGCTATTACGCAAGCTGACGTACGAACCACAGCCCGGTTGGTCAGGTGCTGACTTTAGGTGCCTGTCCAGTGCCTTCTTGAAGACAGCCAGGGGTCTATTGTTAATTCCCCTTATGTATGCTGGGAGGCAATTGAACAGACTTGGGCCCCGGACACTTACTGTGTTGTCTCCCAATATACTCGTGGCACCCCTGCTTTTCATCATGGGAATGTTGCATCTCTTGCCGAGTTTTTTTGCTTTCGTAGGGAGTGATTTTCGTGTGCAGGTTTGGTACCAATTCTTACAGGACCTTCCAAGTGTATATTATCATGTATCTCTCGCTCCTGCGTTCCAGGGAATACGGATCAAGGACCTTCAACTGTTCTCAGAAATTTAGGTGCCTTATCGTTCTTATGTGTGCTGTAAAAGTTCTTTGTACGCTCTCCAGGTTTGCAATGTCGCCAGCCTTGAAGGGCGCCGTTAGTGTACAGCAGTATTCCAGCCTAGAGAGAACAAACGATTTGAAGAGTGTCATCATGGGCCTGGCGTCCCTAGTTTTGAACGTTCTCATTATCCATCCTATCATTTTCCTAGCCGATGAGGTAGATACATTGGTGTGGTCTTTGAAGGCGAGATCCTCTGACATTATCACTCCCAGGTCCTTCACATTTCTTTTTCGCTGTATTGTATGGTTAGAATTTGTTGTATACATTTTTAATTTCCTCAAGTTTTCCATATCTGAGTAGTTGAAATTTTCATCGTTGAACTTCATATTGTTTTGATTGACCCATTTGAAGGTTTGGTTGATGTCCGCTTGGAGTCTTGCAGTCTTCGATGGAGGTCACTGCCATGGTGATCCGGGTGTCATCCGCAAAGGAAAACACGGAGCTATGGCTTACATCTCTATGTCCGATATGAGGATGAGGAATAGAATGGGAGCGAGTACTGTGCCTTGTGGAACAGCTTTTCACTGTGGCTGCCTGGGACTTTACTCTGTTTACTATTACTCTTTGTGTTCTATTTGTGAAGAAATTACAGATCTATCTACCAGCTTTTCCTGTTATTCCTTTATCACGTATTTTGTGTGCTATTACATCATGGTCACACTTGTCGAAGGCTTTTGCTGTTTGTGTATACTACATCTTTATTTTGTTTATCTTCAACAGTATCCAGGACCTTGCCATAGTGGTCCAGGAGCTAGGACAGGCACGAGCGACCCGCTCTAAACCCGTGTTGCCCTGGGTTGTGTAATTGATGGGTATCTAGGTGGTTGGCGATCTTGTTTCTTAGAACCCTCTCAAAGATTTTTATGATATAGGATGTTAGTGCTATCGGTATGTAGTTCTTTGCAATTGCTTTACTGCCTCCTCT